TGTGTGTGTGTGTGTGTGTGTGTGTGTGTGTGTGTGTGTGTGTGTGTGTGTATGTGTGTGTGTGTGTGTGTATGTGTGTGTGTGTGTGTGTGTGTGTGTGTATGTGTGTGTGTATGTGTGTGTGTGTCAGAGTCTGGACCAGACTGCGGCGTTTCAGCTCTTGAGTCACGGCGTTTCAGCTCTTGAGTCACGGCGTTTCGTGTCGATGAAGAAATAATCGGACATAAATTTGTCGCGTTGTTGTTTGAGCCGCTGGATTCACAGTGTGAGGAGAAAACTGCAGCTTCTGGTCGGAACATCAGGTCGTCTTTAAGATCCACCACATGCTTCAGAGTCCAGGTCTGGTTCAGATCCAGGCTTGGATGTAAACACAGGACTAAACATGGACTCTGGGTCGGGGTCCGGGTCGGGGGTCGGGGGTCGGGGGGTCGGGGTCGGGGTCGGGGTCTTGGTCGGGGGGTCAGGGGGGTCAGGGGTCAGGGGTTAATCAGCCGCTGTTCCTCTGGCCTCCTGCAGGTGGCGATCGACTTCACGGCGTCAAACGGGGACCCGAGGAACAGCTGCTCGCTTCACTACATCCACCCGTTTCAGCCCAACGAGTATCTGAAGGCCCTGGTGTCTGTGGGGGAAATCTGCCAGGACTACGACAGGTGAGGCCCTGCCAGGAGACAGGACCAGAGAGACCAGACCAGAGACCAGACCAGAGACCAGACCTGAGACCAGAGACCAGAGACCAGACTAACTCTGTGACTCTCTCCTCAGTGACAAGATGTTTCCTGCTTTTGGATTCGGAGCCAAGATCCCCCCAGATTATAAGGTAAAGAGAGTTGTAGGGAGTATTATCTGTATTATCTGTGACATAAGGGTGAGTTGTACAGTTGTAGGGAGTATTATCTTGTGTCTGTTTTTTTTTTTCAGGTCTCTCATGATTTTCCACTGAACTTTAATGAGGAGAACCCCGAGTGTGCAGGTGAGTGACAGGAGCAGACAGGAGCAGACAGGAGCAGACAGGAGCAGACAGGAGCAGACAGGGGCAGACAGGAGCAGACAGGAGCAGACAGGGCAGACAGGGGCAGACAGCAGACAGGGGCAGACAGGAGCAGACAGAGAGCAGACAGGAGCAGACAGGGGCAGACAGGGGCAGACAGACAGGGGCAGACAGACAGGAGCAGACAGGAGCAGACAGGGGCAGACAGGGGCAGACAGGGGCAGACAGGAGCAGACAGGGAGCAGACAGGGGCAGACAGGAGCAGCTCAAACTAATCTCCTCTTCCTCCTCCTCTTCCTCAGGGATTCAGGGTCTGGTTCAGGCGTATCAGTCCATTTTGCCGAAGCTTCAGCTCTATGGTCCGACCAACATTTCCCCGATCATCCAGAAGGTGGCGCTCACCGCCTCCCAGGAGCAGCACACCAAGGAGGCCATGGTGAGGCCCACAGTGGGACTAGACCGGGTCTAGACCTGGACTAGACCTGGTCTAGACTTGGACTGAACCCAGATTAGACCTGTGTTTCTGTTTCCTTGAGCTGCAGACGTCACAAAGTGTTTTGTGTTGGTCTCTGGTCTGGTCTGTGGACTGGTCTGTGGTCTGGTCTGTGGTCTCTGGTCTGTGGTCTGTGGTCTGTGGGCTGGTCTGTGGGCTGGTCTGTGGTCTGTGGTCTGTTGTCTGTGGTCTGTGGACTGGTCTGTGGTCTGTGGTCTGGTCTGTGGTCTGTGGTCTGTTGTCTGTGGTCTGGGTCTGGTCTGGTCTGGTGTGGTCTGTGGTCTGGTCTGTGGTCTGTGTGGTCTGGTCTGTGTCTGTCTGGTCTGTGTGGTCTGGTCTGTGGTCTGTGGTCTGGTCTGTGGTCTGGTCTGGTCTGCTGGTCTGGTCTGTGGTCTGGTCTGGTCTGTGTGGTCTGTGGTCTGTGGACTGGTCTGGTCTGTGGTCTGTGGGCTGGTCTGTGGTCTGTGGTCTGTGGTCTGTGGTCTGTGGTCTGTGGACTGGTCTGTGGTCTGGTCTGTGGTCTGTGGTCTGGTGGTCTGTGGTCTGGTCTGGTCTGGTCTGGTCTGGTCTGTGGTCTGTGGTCTGGTCTGTGGTCTGGTCTGTGGTCTGTGGTCTGGTCTGTGGTCTGTGGTCTGTGGGTGGTCTGTGGGCTGGTCTGTGGTCTGTGGACTGGTCTGTGGTCTGGTCTGGTCTGGTCTGTGGTCTGTGGTCTGTGGTCTGGTCTGGTCTGTGGTCTGTCTGTGGTCTGGTCTGTGTGGTCTGTCTGGGTCTGGTCTGTGGTCTGGTCTGTGGTCTGTGGACTGGTCTGTGGTCTGTGGTCTGGTCTGTGGTCTGTGGTGGTCTGTGGTCTGTGGACTGGTCTGTGGTCTGTGGTCTGGTCTGGTCTGTGGTCTGTGGTCTGTGGTCTGTGGTCTGACCCGGTCTGTGGTCTCTGGTCTCACAGCAGTACTTCATCGTGCTGGTCCTGACGGACGGCGTGGTCACAGACATGGCGGACACTCGCGAGGCCATCGTGCAGGCGGCGCACCTGCCCATGTCCGTGATCATCGTGGGCGTCGGCTCGGCCGACTTCAGCGACATGCAGCTCCTCCTGCGCGCCACCAGGGGTCAGTCTGTGTGCAGAGACATCGTCCAGTTTGTGCCCTTCAGGAACTTCAAACACGTGAGTGTGAACCTCAAAAACTCAACGATTCACACCGACGAGAGTTAAATCTGATTTAAAACACGAGAAGAGTTAGCACGTCGCTGTTAGCACGTCGCTGTTAGCACGTCGCTGTTAGCACGTCGCTGTTAGCACGTCGCTGTTAGCACGTCGCTGTTAGCACGTCGCTGAGGAGGCAAGTTTATTTGTTCAGCACAATTCATACACGAAGTAATTCAAAGTGTTTTACAGAATAAGAAATACATTAAAATCATAATAAAAACAAATCAAAACATAAATAATCATGAAGATTAAATTTAAAAAAGAGAGACATAAATTGGAGAGAAGAGTGCGGAATGAAAACCTTTCAGTTTTTTTCACAGTTAAACAGAAAAGTTTAGAGTCTGGATTTAAACAGCGTCACAGAAGAGTCTGTCTCACATGTTCAGACTGTTCCAGGTTTTAGCTGCATGAACCTGAAACTCTGACTCCCCTTGTTTAGTCGTGACTCTGGCACCAGCAGGAGGTCAGAGGGTCGTGTCCCTTCGAGAGACTCCGGTGTTTTACTGGAGACTTCAGCGTCTACGTGGGCGACGACACTGACGCCTGGAGATGAACGTCCTCCTGATCTGAACCTGAGTCGTGTTCTGTTATTGGACTTTTGTGCTCGTCACAGTTTGTCCAGAACCAGCACCATGTTCAGCACCAGGTCCATCAGCGCTCGTGGCACCAGGACGTCCTCGACCGGAGCTTCATCATCCACTTTGTGATTGTGTCATGTGACTCCGGCCGTGTGTCCTGGACACTCGGGTGAAGAGAGTCAGAGCTGTAGACTCCACCTGGTGGTGAGTTGGTTCACTGGTGGAGGAGGAAAGACCTGCAGGTCCAGACGTGTAGTGAGGGTCTGTGGGAACATCTGGCACAGCCTAAGTCAGAGGAACTTTCAACTCACACCTCCAGGAGCTTCTCACAGATTCTGGGGGAGTCTGGGGACTTGGAGTCTGAGTGGGTTTTGTTCTCGGCCTCTGTTGCCGATGCGGCCGCTCGGAGCTGTGAGCGTCAGGTCTGCGGTTCCTGTCGCGGTGGTGATCCCAGAACCCGGTGGTGGACACCAGAAGTAAGAGATGAGTCAGGATGAAGGAGGAGTCCTGTCGGGTCTTGTTGGCTCGTGGGACCAACGGGTCAAACGCTCTGCAGCTCGTGAGGTCACAGAGACAAAAACTCAGAGCTGGGAGGAGTTCAGGGAAAACATGGAGGAGAACATGGAGGAGAACATGGAGGAGAACATGGAGGAGAACTATCAGACAAACTCAAAGAGATTCTGTCAAAGCATCCGGCGCCTCAGGAGGAGGATCAGTTCTTCACCATCTCTGTTTCCAGTGCAGGAGGAGAACTGTTCACCTCGACTGGGGACGTTGTCGGACGATGGAAGGAAAACTCTGAGGATCTCCTCAATCCCACCATCACGTCTTCTGAGGAGGAAGTCGAGACTGGAGACTCGGAGGTGAACTCGTCCATCACCCTGAAGTCCCTGAGGAGGTTAAAGTTCCTCGTGGTTCTGGAGGTTCTGATCCGTCCTGAGGATCTTCAGTCTCTGGATGTTGTGGGTCTTGTCTGACTCGTCTCTGCAGCGTCGTGTGGAGGTCGAGGACAGAACCTCTGGACCTTCAGACTGGGGTGGTGGTTCCTCTGTAGAAGAAGGAGGAGGAGGGTGTGTTCCAACTCCAGGAGAATCACACTCCTCACACTCCCCGGTCTGTGTCAGGGACTGGAGAGGAGAATGTGACCGATACTTGAACCTCAGGTCCAGGAGGAGCAGTGTGGTTTTGGTCCACTGGACCAGCTCCACACTCTCCACCGGGCGTCTCCCTTAGAGACAGAGTGAGGAGCTCGGAGTAGAGCCGCTGCTCCTCCACGTGGAGAGGAGCGTCTGAGGGGAGGACGTCTGTTCTGACGTCTCCTGGACGTGTCCCTCAGGAGGTGTTCATGTTCCACCGGGAGGAGGAGAAGACCCAGGACACACTGGAGGGACCATGTCTCTGGACTGGACTGGGAACACCTCAGGTCCCACTGGAGGAGCTGGAGGAAGTGTCTGGGGTGAAGGAAGTCTGGGAGTGTCTGCTTAGATTGATGCCCCCGAGACCCGACAGAGAAGAAGAAGAACATGGACGGAGACACGTGGCTGTTTGTCTCTGTGGCGTCTGTCAACTTTTCATATTAGATTTTTTTTTCTATGAGAAAAAAAAATTAACATTTACCTCCTCTTCTCTTCTTCTTCTTCTTCTTCTTCTTCTTCTTCTTCTTCTTCTTCTTCTTCTTCAGGCGTCTCCGTCGGCGTTGGCGAAGTCGGTTTTGGCTGAAATCCCAAATCAGATCATGGAGTATTACAACAGCCGAGGAATCAAACCCAAGACCCACCGGAGCACCAGACCCTTCTAGACCAAGACCAGGACTAGACCAGGACTAGACCAGGACCAGACCAGGACTAGACCAGGACTAACCCAAGACCCTGAAGACCATCAGGCCCTTCTAGACCAAGACCAGGACTAAAAAGTAACCAGGACTGAACCTGGACCAAACAAAATGTACATCAGGACTCAAAATGGGACCAAAACCACATTAGGACTAAACCAGAACCGAACCAAGATTAGATGTGAAGAAAACCAAACCAGGACCAAATCCAGACCCACCAGGACTCATGTGGACCAAACCGGACTAATCCTGATGATGTCACAAAACATGGTCCAGTTCAGGTCTGATAGAAATAAGACCAGGACTAGACCAGGACTAGACCAGGACTAGACCAGGACTAGACCAGGACTAGACCAGGACTAGATCTCTGTTCTAATGTTCTACTGCAGGTTCTTCAGAGTCGTGTTTTAACATTGTAACAGGTAACATAACACGAGAAAACACTCTGTTCCACCTTGTGATGTCATCATGTGGTGATACAGGAAGTGCTCCACTGTGTTTTTAAACTCCACACTTCACCTTCACTAGAATCACATGGAACATTTCAGTCCTGGAGTCGCCTCAGGAACATCAGAACATTAGAACATCAGAACATTAGAACATCAGAACATTAGAACATTCAGAACATCAGAACATCAGAACATCAGAACATTAGAACATCAGAACATCAGAACATTAGAACATCAGAACATCAGAACATTAGAACATCAGAACATCAGAACATCAGAACATCAGAACATTAGAACATCAGAACATAGAACATCAGAACATTAGAACATCAGAACATTAGAACATCAGAACAGAACATTAGAACATTAGAACATTAGAACATCAGAACATTAGAACATCAGAACATCAGAACATCAGAACATTAGAACATCAGAACATTAGAACATCAGAACATTAGAACATCAGAACATTAGAACATTAGAACATCAGAACATTCGTTCATCTTTAAGTTCAGAGTTTGTGTGATTCAGATTTGACCCAAACATGAATCCTGAACTTTAAGTCCTGGTCTAGACCTGGACCTGGACTGAACCAGAACCAGACCTGGACTGGACCAGGTCTGAGGACTCACGTACTGTGTCAGAGTCCTGCAGTACCACAGTGCAGTAGGTGGTACTTAGTGCTACTGCAGTACGTGTGTAGTACTGCAGTACTTTGTAGTACTGCAGTACTTTGTAGTACTGCAGTACTTTGTAGTACTGCAGTACGTGTGTAGTACTGCAGTACGTGTGTAGTACTGCAGTACTTTGTAGTACTGCAGTACGTGTGTAGTACTGCAGTACTTTGTAGTACTGCAGTACGTGTGTAGTACTGCAGTACGTGTGTAGTACTGCAGTACTTTGTAGTACTGCAGTACGTGTGTAGTACTGCAGTACGTGTGTAGTACTGCAGTACTTTGTAGTACTGCAGTACGTGTGTAGTACTGCAGTACGTGTGTAGTTGCAGTGTGTAGTACTGCAGTACGTGTGTAGTACTGCAGTACAGTACGTGTGTAGTACGTGTGTAGTACTGCAGTACTTTGTAGTACTGTATCTGTAGTGGTGTTTCTATGCATCTGTGATTCTCCTGGACTCGTCTGTAGGTCAGAGGTCGTAGGTCGTAGCTGCATGTTTGGTCCTGAGCTCAGTGAGTCGCATGAGAAAAAACCTGTGAAAAAAACAAACCCAGAGACACGACTCTTCATCCTCCTCATCCTCTTCATCTTCATCTTCCTCCTCCTCATCTTCATCTTCATCTCTCCTCATCTTCATCATCTCCTCATCTCATCTCTCATCCTCATCTTCATCCTCATCCTCTCATCCTCATCTTCATCCTCTTCATCCTCCTCATCTTCATCCTCCTCATCCTCATCTTCATCCTCCTCATCCTTCATCTTCATCCTCCTCATCCTCTTCATCTTCATCCTCCTCATCCTCTTCATCTTCATCCTCCTCATCCTCATCTTCATCCTCCTCATCCTCTTCATCTTCATCCTCCTCATCCTCATCTTCATCTTCATCTCCTCATCCTCATCTTCATCCTCTTCATCCTCCTCATCTTCATCCTCCTCATCCTCTTCATCTTCATCCTCCTCATCCTCTTCTCATCCTCCTCATCTTCATCCTCCTCATCCTCATCTTCATCTTCATCCTCATCCTCCTCCTCATCTTCATCCTCCTCATCCTCATCTTCATCCTCCTCATCCTCATCTTCATCCTCCTCATCCTCATCTTCATCCTCCTCATCCTCATCTTCATCCTCCTCATCCTCATCTTCATCTTCATCCTCATCTTCTTCATCTTCTTCTTCTTCTTCTTCTTCTTCTTCTTCGTCTCTGGGTCAGATTTGCATTTTGCCTCGTGTTGTTTTTTCTGTAGTTTAGTAAAAACAATAATAATAATAATAAAGATGTAGTAATAATGTAATAACAACAGTAATAACAGTAATAACATGAATAAGAAATATTAATAATAATAATAAAGTTATAAATGAAATATTCCAGAGTTTAGACTCAGCGGCGCCCGGTGCATGAGTCTGCGCCGCTTAAAACCCCCCGCCCCAGACCACCTCCACCAGGACCAGACCAGGACCAGGACCAGACCAGGACCAGGACCAGACCAGGACCAGGACCAGGACCAGGACCAGACCAGACCAGACCAGGACCAGGACCAGACCAGGACCAGACCAGGACCAGGACCAGACCAGGACCAGGACCAGACCAGACCAGACCAGACCAGGACCAGGACCAGACCAGGACCAGGACCAGGACCAGGACCAGACCAGACCAGACCAGACCAGACCAGGACCAGACCAGGACCAGACCAGACCAGACCAGACCAGGACCAGACCAGGACCAGACCAGGACCAGACCAGACCAGACCAGACCAGGACCAGACCAGACCAGGACCAGGACCAGGACCAGGACCAGGACCAGACCAGACCAGACCAGACCAGACCAGGACCAGGACCAGACCAGGACCAGACCAGGACCAGGACCAGACCAGGACCAGGACCAGGACCAGACCAGGACCAGGACCAGACCAGGACCAGACCAGGACCAGGACCAGACCAGGACCAGACCAGGACCAGACCAGACCAGGACCAGACCAGACCAGGGACCAGGACCAGGACCAGACCAGACCAGGACCAGACCAGGACCAGACCAGGACCAGACCAGGACCAGACCAGGACCAGACCAGACCAGACCAGGACCAGACCAGGACCAGGACCAGACCAGGACCAGGACCAGACCAGGACCAGACCAGACCAGGGACCAGGACCAGACCAGGACCAGGACCAGGACCAGGACCAGACCAGACCAGACCAGGACCAGACCAGACCAGGACCAGACCAGACCAGGACCAGACCAGGACCAGGGACCAGGACCAGGACCAGGACCAGACCAGACCAGGACCAGGACCAGACCAGACCAGGACCAGGACCAGACCAGACCAGGACCAGACCAGGACCAGGACCAGGACCAGGACCAGGACCAGACCAGGACCAGGACCAGGACCAGACCAGGACCAGGACCAGGACCAGACCAGACCAGGACCAGGACCAGACCAGGACCAGGACCAGGACCAGACCAGGACCAGACCAGGACCAGGACCAGGACCAGACCAGGACTAGTGACACTGTGGGGTTTTCCTGGTGGAGTTGTGGTTGCCGTGGCGATCTGTGGCTGTGGTTTCTGAGCATGCTCAGTCTGTGGTAGAACAAAAGCACAATTTTATACAAAACTGCCTCTGTTGCCCCCTGTCGGCCTGTGTGTGCACTGCCCCTGTGTGCCGCCCCTGTGCACCTGTCGGCTCACCTGTCGGCTCACCTGTCGGCTCACCTGTCGGCTCACCTGTCGGCTCACCTGTCGGCTCCTTTGATTCACTGAGAAATAAAATAAAAAGGTGAATCTGTGAAAAACAAAGAGAAAGTGATAGAGACAGGTGTGTCCACATGTGACAGGGGCTCACCTGTCGGCTCACCTGTAGGCTCACCTGTCCCTGTGGTGATGTCGTTCGGAGCATGCTCAGTTTGTGGAAAAATATAAGCACAATTTTAAACCTTCTGCCTCTAATGTCTGTGTCTGTTTTTGTTTTTTTTTCCAAAATTTTCCCAATTTTCCTACATTTTTCCCTAAATTATAGTATAGACAAATTTTATATTTTTCAAAATTCTAATTTAATTTTTTTCATTTTTTTTTTACTTTTTTCCAAATGTTTCAGTAATTTTTTTGTAATTTCTTTTCTTTTCTTTTCTCTCTTTTCTTTTCTCTTTTCTTTTCTTTTCCTTCTCTCAGTTTTTTCGTCTTTGTCTCTAAATGTCGAATAGTTTGAGCTTCAAACATAAAAATAAAGTTTATATTTTTATGTTTTAAAAACTGTGATAAAATGTCCCTGTCAAAGCTGTCAATCACCAGAGCCCCGCCTTCCTGAGTCCTGCCTCCTGATTGGTTAGACGAGGTCACATGTTTAAATGTTTATTTAAAACTTTGACTCAAAATGTTTTTATAAAAGTTTTTTTTTCGATCTGAAGTTTTCAGACGTTTGTTCATGTTTTATTTGAACACTGGTGTTTCCTGTCGCCGTGTCTGAGGCAGACGCTCGTTTGAAAATAAAACTTTGCCCTGAACTGAGTCTGAGTTTAACTTTTACACTGAAAACACTCGGTCCCACCTCGTGATGTCATCAAGTGGAGATACACGGCACGGTGGCTGAGTGTTTCGCACTCATGCCTCACAGCAAGAAGGTTGTGGGTTGGATCCCTGGGTTTTTCTGTGTGGAGTTTGTTTCTCTTCGTGTCTGGATGAGTTTCCTCCAACACAAAACCTGCTCCAGGTCCAGAACAGCTGAGAGTCAAAGACACAAACACAATCACTTCAATCATTGTGTCCTTAGGCAAGACACTTCACACACATTCCCTCGTATGAAAGCGGTGTGTGTGTGTGTGTGTGTGTGTGTGTGTCGTGTGTGTCTGTGTGTGTGTGTGTGTGTGTGTGTGTCTGTGTGTGTGTGTGTGTGTGTGTGTGTGTCTGTGTGTGTGTGTGTGTGTGTGTGTGTGTGTGTG